TACATTAGATAATTTAGCTTTATTTTAAATATATTATTTACATAGTAATTTAGAAAATCAAATTTTTAATCTCTTTACAATAATATATGTATCATAATTCTTATTACAATCTAAAATAATAATGATTCTTTATAAGCATTTTTGTGTTGTTGCTCTTATCCATTTATCATATTTCTTAAAAAACATACAATCTTTACCAAAAAAAATAAACAGAGATATTATGCCTCTTACGTATACAAAGAAAAAAAATAAACAGATACATTATACATTTTTGTGTTGTTACTCTTCTACAATATCATATTGATTGAAAAAAATACAATCTTTACAAAGAAAAAATAAACAGATACAAAGAAAAATCAAAAATACAATATTTACATATACACTAGATGGTTGGCCCGCACATATGTGTGGGTATAATTTTTTTGATACACATAGTTAATTGTAATATTTCAGTATTGATTAGTTTTTTTGAAACATTACTATGTTTGCATATATATATATATATTGTTTTATTATTGCAAAAAGTTCTTTCTGAAACCAATATAATTTAAAACTTTTTATTTTTATAATGCTTGTAATAATATATAACCACAAATATAAAAGTTATATTAAATAATAATTAAATTTTATAATATTTTTTGAATATTTCTATAATATGCTTTATTTCTCCTTATAAAATCTACAATATGCTTTTTGTATCTTAAATAATACTCCCTCTGTTTCATAATAAGTGTCATTTTGGGAAAATGTATCTGTATTATAACTGGATGTATTAACCTCAAAACACATCCAGATACATCCAGTTATAATGCAGATACATTTTCCCAAAATGACACTTATTATGAAACAGAGGGAGTATGAATTTGCGAATACATATATAATATATTTTAAGTATATATTTTTTCTTGATTTATTACAAATTAAACTGAAATAGTTTTCTCATTTTTACGCATGATGCGGGCATACCAACCACTTCACTACACTTAGAATAAAGAAAGATTTTTTAAAAAAATATAAATTCTATAATAATTAAAATAAAAATTAGACTGTAATCAAGCTTAACAAAATACATGCACGAAAAATTTTGCATGTGATTTAAACTAATGCAAAAATAATATTTATGTTTGTACGCATATTTGTAAAAAAATCGGAATATAGCTTTTACGTGTTAAAAAATTTTTAAGTGACTTTGTAAAACAAAGTGCGAGAGCTTTATTTTTATATACTTATATTTTTATTTATTATTCATATTTGTTTCATCTTATTGAAATTAATTCTTTCGTTTGGTTATTTTTTATTTCATTTATGATCTCAAATTTTTGATATACAATGAAAATAAATTTATGTATATATATATATATATGAATATCATATAAATTTTTATTTTTATTTAAAATATGATAAGAGATAAGATGAGATAGTAACATAAGTTATGTACATTTTAGAAAACAACAATAAAAAGATGATAAAAGTTATAGAAAAATATTTGGTCCTATTAATATTTTAAAATAATGATTATTATATACTTTATTCATTTAGTAAATATTTGTTTGAAAATAAAAATTATTTAAATTATGCTTTTTAAAACAATTTCAATAAAAGATAATTATTTTTTATTATTTTTAACATTTTATTCTTTAAATTATTTTTATCATGATTGTATTTAATTTAAATTTGTATTATTTAATAATTTATTTATTTAAAACTTGTTTAGATGTTATTATTATATTTTGTAGATTAATAACTTTCCGAAATAAAAATATATCATACTTTAAGTATTATTAATATATATAAATTTTATTATTCTATTGGATAATTTAATATTATTTTTTCGTTTTTATATGAAATTATAATATATATATATATATATTGTTGAAATTTTTTTATAATTATATTTTATTAAATTATGAATATATGTAAAAAATTGAAATTATAATAATAATTATTTTCTGTTAATATATATTTGTTAATGTTAGTGTTATAAATATAATCTAGTGTATTAATGTTTTAATTCCATAATTTCTATAATTTTAATTCAACCAATCAAAACATTTCATTTATTTTAAGATGTTTGACATATCACATTTACATGTCATCAATTAAAAGCACTAACTTTGGCTGTAATGTTGACAAGTCAGCTATTTTCAATAATGTTACTTCTCAAATAATATGTAGTGGATTATGCTTCTTACGTTCGAGGAAAAAATACCGGTTTGCACTACAACATAACCAGTTTTGGTAATAGAAAACAGATACATTATCGTTCTACCGTGTCTCTTGTAAGAAATTTATAATTGTGACAACTGTACTGATTAAAGATGTTCATGACTTATTCACGATGACAACCAAAGATACTACGCATGCATCCTTCCCGTATATTATGTCGCGCGCCTGCTACATTTGCATGCATTGTGATTTCATTCTTTATGGCTAAGACATATTATGATATTATCCAAGTTCGTATAGCGCGCGCTTGCCTTCTATAGTGTTTTGAAGCAGGCAAATCAAAATTTAAGCTTACACGAAATGCATGGTGACACATGGCGGATCTTGAAGAAACCATTCTTCAACAGAAAAATATAAACTACATTGGCTAAATGTAGGACATCGAAACAACTCATATTATCACAAGATGCTTAAAGTAAGGAAAATGAGAAATTCGATCAGGGATATAAAGGCTGAAACAAAGAGGTTCTTTCGTGAGTTTATAACTCATAAACCATCTGAATTTGAAACGTTGCAACAAGTTATGGACTTCCGTTGTGATAGAAATCAGATGATAATGAAAGTTTCACTTTCAGATGAAAAGAAGAACCACTAAACATTCGATGAGCTAGTGAGAGCAAGTGAAAGGGATATATATAAATATAATTTTAAAAGTAATATTGATTGATTTTCATTATATCGTTAAACCTTTCACAAAATCCATAAACTGGATCCTAGGAAGGAGGGGTCCTATATGTACAAATGGTTTGGAAGATATCAATACCGTAACTTTGGCCAGGAAATAAATCCAGGTAGCAATTCACAGGAAGTACTGACAGTATTGCTGTGCAACAATCTTTTGTCAGCCCACTGAAATCTACTTTTGTCGCTAATTTTATCCCATCGTAACATCCCGGCACGTGATCTATAGCCGCTGTCGGACAATGAATCTCTGCTTCAGATTGTCTGAGAAACGATGCTGAGATTAGAGCTAACAAGAAAAACATCACTTTGGTTTGTATTAGTGTCGTCATTTTTTACAAGATTTTGAAAATGATTTGGTTTTGGAGTTGAGACTTGAGAGCTCGGTGAATAATTAAAGAATTATGTCATATATTTATATAGTGTAGAGAATTCTCTCAGTATAGTAAATTATATTTATGTTTGATTGACAATTAATTAGGGGATTCACATATTATTCACGAATTTTGAGACTAAAATAGCTATTGTATATAGCCTGGCAAATGCTTATATCATGATATTTCAGGTTACTCAAAAAAGATTTTAGATTCAGAGTATGATTGGTAACAGCTGTATTTTAACATTAGTTATTATAAGATTTTGGCTGTAAATTTGCCTAAAATTATATGTTTTAAAAGAAAATGCTTTATACATCCAAATTAAAAAAAAAGTAAATCTTTTCGCTGTGAGTTGAAAAAAGAAAGGTAAAGTTTGATTGGATCCATTTGAAAGCTTTATTTTTTTTAACTGTGTACAGCTTCTAAAACTCTTACTAATGCCTGATTGATAACAACTCTACGTAGTTTATTTTTTTTTGCTATAAAAATATGGTTATAAGTTTTATTTATTGTAGCTGTATATTTTAACGCATGTAACTTTTATATAAAATAAAATTAGATATAGTTTTAAGTCTCTGTAACTATGGAGTCAGAAAACGTACGTTTCCTATATATATTTTCTCCGAGGCAAACACGCCTTCGACCTTGCATAAGGAGCCCTGAGAAAAGACAGTGGCCATGGAATTAGGAGGTGATGATGTCTCTTCAGTTTTTAGAAAGGCCAAGTTTTTAACGTCCAGTATTAAACGGTTTTTTGCAGTTTATTTATGTATGACTAAAGTCACTTAGAAACAATAATAATTTTTTAAACAGCTAATAGACATATATTTTTGTAACAACAAAGCAGCTATATATTATATAAAATACACATGCATTTAACTGTGTTTTCAATATCAAGAAGTGCAGCGTGCAACATTTTCTCCGAGACAAACAAGTCTTGGACCTTGCATAAGTGATAAGTGCCTTGATAAACATTAAGGGAAGACACTCAAGACAGTAGTAACCCATAAAATTAGGAGGTAGAGCTATTTTAATATATTAAAGGACTTTTATACTAACAATTGTGATGTTCCTTTAATTTTTAGACATGCCAAGGTATTATACGTCCAATACCAATCAACTCAAGTCTGTATATGCATTATTCAAACTATTGACAGGCTAAATGTCGAGTAAGGTGGTGTATGCCCCCAAGACTCAGTTGCATTATAGAGCTCTCAAAAGCCATAGAGGCTTAACAACAAAGAGTAGTGCCCAACTTAGATGGAGGCTTTATAATAGCGTAGAAGGGAAAGTAATATTTAAGTAAACATTATTAAAAACTGATGGAGCCATGGAGGGGTGGGTGAAGAGGACGGAGAAGACTAACTACCATGTGGTGGTAATGTTTTATTAAGTCTCTGCATCTAGTCCATGCGTAGAACTGGAGATGAATTATTAAACAATACTATATTGTATTATTTGTAAAGGTTTTAAAGTTATGTCTGCCATGACATAAAAACCCACCAACTCTCTTTCGATTCGACTCAAATAAGAGAAAATCAAGAAAAGAAATAAATCTAATTACTCTTCAGATATGATGGAAAATTCTTGAGAATTTTCTTGGTGTAAGGAGACTGGACTTTCACGAACATCTTGTGTACCCTACAAATATTTCTTATGAATGCAGTGCTTGCTCCAACTCTGAACAAAGAGAAGACAGCGAAGACGGAGAAAGCCATGGTGAAAGCGGTGAAGGCGGCTACACCTGCAAGCCTTGTAATCTCTACGTCCACAAAGGTTGCGTCGAGATCAACAACCCTTATCGTCACAAGCACTCTCTCAAACTCCTTCAGTATAGCTATCTACACGATGTTGGTAAAACATGTCTCTTGTGTGAAGAAAAGGTGAAACAGCTGTTTTATCATTGCTTCTTATGTGACATCACTTTATGCAAGCTTTGTCCTAGTAAGCCGTTGGTTATTGACGATGCCCCGAGGAAGATTCACGAGCACTCACTCAAAAAGTTATGATAGAGGTATCCTTCACTTGTGATGCTTGTGGGTTTTGTACCGATGGATTCCCTTGTGTGTGTCTCCCGTGCTGTTTTATCATCCATAGAGATTGTATCAAGTTGCCACGCGTTATACACGTGAACCGTCATGACCACTGTGTTTCACACTTACTCTCTTGGCACCGGAGATTGGGTATGCGGGGTTTGTCGCAGAGGCGTTGATAGGGTCTTTGGGGCTACTCCTGCAAGATTTGTCTCTATGCTGTTCATTCAAAATGTGCAAAAAGACTTGATGTCTGGGATGGGAAGGATTAGAAGATGTCCCTGAAGATGAAGAAGATCTTGATCCGTTCGAGGTGATTGGTGAAGGGTTAATAAGATATTTCAGTCATGAACATGATTTAAGATTGATCATCATTGAGAATGTAACACCCGCCTCTTTCAAATCAAGACGGCATGTTAAAGTGTATTAATTTTCACCACAAGAAACCACTTGCTAGTTCAATGCCACTTTTATTCCCAAGGATCATATTCAAAATGTCTTAAAAGACCACTTTAACTTAACCAGTAAAACCGAATTTAAATAATCGTCTTAAAAATAAATAACGAATAATAAAATAAAACCCGCATCTTCCCAAAACTATTACCGAGCCACAAGACTACTCATGAATGTCTACGCGCTCACCTGCAGAGGAAAGAGGGATGAGTATTCCAACAATACTCAGTGAGGGCAGATCCTAGGGATCCACGATATACATCTCGCACATGCATAACCATTCCAGACGAAGGTCCTAAGCTAATACACACAGGCAAACACATCCAAAGACACTCATAGATCAAGAAATGACATCACTAGACCTAACTGGTGCATCCACACCCTCACCGGCGCACACCCGTGGCATATAGCGGCCCACACGCTGTCCGTCCTCAAGACGCAGGGCTCGTCAAGCCGCCAACGATGGACTATGGAGTCTCACACGCCTCCATATCCAAACCAAACATATCAAAAGAGGTTCCTACATCTAATCCCAACCCGCAAGTGATTTTCCCCATGTAATGCAAACACCCGCAAACACTATTCATACATCAATCAACATTATTCCGTTTAGCAACCTATGACACTAAGTTCATCAATCAGCAACCGCAAGACAACAACAATTATTATAGTGATTTTAAGCGCTACTAGTCATGTTCAATCAACTATCAAATACGTGTATTCATATAGATACAGCGCAGGTATGTGCGGATTAACAAAAGACTACTCAGTATGAAATAGCTATGAATCTGAGAGAGATAGATCACGCTAGTCCTCACCTTAGTCTCAGAACGGAAGTGAAAAACAGAAATAGAAGGAGATCTGGTTACTGCGGGTCTTCGCCGAACGGATCAAGGAGTCTGATGGAAGAAACGATCACAGATTCGAGAAGAGGGCGCGAAGGAGAATGTTTCCGGTGACTGGCAATTTTTCGGCAACTTTTTTGGCGGCGGCGGACGTTGGCTCCGACGACAACTCTAGCGACGGCGACGGCGGCTCCGGTGGCAACTCCGGCGACGGCGGCGGCAACTCCGGCGACGGCGGCGGCAGCTCCGACGACAACTCCGGCGACGGTGGCGGCGGCTCCAGCGACAACTCCGGCGATGGTGGCGGTGGCTCCGACGACAACTCCGGCGACGACGACGGCGGCTCCAGTGAGAGATTCCGGCGGGAACAGGGCAGAGCTTCGCTGAAGAATTTTCTGACTGAAATTTCTGAAGGGCAGCAGCTCTATTTATACTGGAAGGGAGGGGAACTCTATGTCAACTTTCGGATTGGACCTGGGCTTTGGGCTTTTGTTAACAAAATTTCTTCTGGGCTGGGCCAGGATGTCACAACTCTCCCCCCACTTACCGGGAATTCGCCTCCGAATTCAAGTCGACATCCCACAGAAACCAACGACCCAAAGAGCTCCGGTTAACAAGCCCGCACAACAGCCTTAGGCTCCCAAAAATTATTCACGGACTTCATCCCTTGCTGAACAACAGGAACCAACTTGGTCTTCTTCTCTTGAACTTCTGACTCCTGACGGTTTGAGATTTACACCGACTTACTCGTAACTGTTAAGTTTAAGCCCACATCTGACTGGCGGCACAACTAAGATTATCCCTGGTTCCCATACCACAACCCTCAAAACTTACCCATGAAACCCATCATGAAAGTTTGAAAACTTGTGTGGTAAGTCCAACCTATGATCTTATACAGCCCATGAACCTTGGCCTTAACTTTTCCAGCTTACGGTTCCTCGGATCGCTCTCATTCTAAAATACACTGCATCACCCAATCCATCCCCAAAATGACTTCGTAATGGTCCAGCTCCATTTTCACAAGACTTCCGCATAACTTCATGCCCTTCAGCACCATGGACACTTCTTCATAACTTCAGTGGACTTCATAAGCTCATCTCTGACTGTCTTGATCTCCTTCGTCCTCGAGACGAACCGCGCCTCGGAAGGTCCAGCACTTTGCCAGTGCCGAACACACAAAGCTATTCATAGCTCCTGTGTCAAACAATTTATGGGTGGCGATTCCCAGACCAAAACCGATCCCACACAGTTGGAACTACACTAAGCATGCTATTCAAATTTCATACAAGACTCTCTAGACTGAACACATAAGTCTGTAAGAAATGACATACCCGCGTTTGATTCCACACCACCATGCTCTCCTGCTATATAGACTCGAGGTCTTCCCGGCTGTCCTGCTGGTGGCGCTGGCAACTGAAGTTGTCCTTGATTCTGCCCTCCTAGCTGTTGTCCTTGAAGCGGAACCATACACTGCCTCGCAAGGTGCCCGATCTGCCCACAACGATGACACATGCTCCTCAATGGTTGGGCTTCTCTCAGCGGAAAGCCTGCTGTACAATCCCTTTTCACATGCCCCGGTTGATGGCACCTGTAGCAAACAACACCCCTCGGGGCCGTTCCTTGTGCTGGTGTCAAGTTAGCGGTCTCCCAATTCCTCTTATGACTCTCAGCTCCTTTTCCACTCTTAGCTTGAGCATGCTTGGACAATTTGAGTTCTTCCTGCAACCCAATTTCCTGCTCTGCAGCGGTTTCCACCAGGTCCACCATGTTGGCATACTTCCTGACTGAACAACGATTCTTGAGGTCAACTCTCAGTCCCTTCATGAACTTATGAATCAGCTCTGCCTCGCCCATACGTCTGGTTGTAAACCTCCTCAGACGGTTGAATTCCTCCTTATACTCCCGGACAGTTTGATTATCCTGACGAAGCTCGTCAAAAGCACTCTTCATCCTGTCCAAGGCCTCTAGCGGAAAGTACTCCCGAGTGAACTTGTAGCATCCGTATCCGAGGAAATGCGGACTGATCGTACCGGACAGGAGGTTGTCCGAGGAATGACCGAGCCAAGGGTCGGATATTGGCTGGGAAAGGGAGGTTCGGGCTATGGTCGGGTGTGGACCGGTGAAATAGTCGGACATGGGCTGGATAGCCGAGCCGGATGGACCATATCCGAGGGAAATGGGGTCCAGTCCGAGGGAAAATGGGATTTATCCGAGTGAAGTAGGATATATCTGAGAGTCTGGGAGGTTAGTCCGAGTGTCAGTGGACTGTCTCCGAGGGAGAATAGGAAACCTCCGAGGGAAAAAGAGGATTAGCCGAGGAAGGACAGGATGTCCGAAGGGAATAGGAAAATCCGGATGAAAAATGGAAAACACCTCGGATAAGGGCGGTTTATCCGAGTGGGAAGGGATTTGGGCCGTGGGCCAAGTGTTTGGTCGGCTATTTTGGGGTTTATCGAAGGATGGGTCGAGCCGGTACAGGGAATAGCCGAGAGAATCAAATCGGACCGGGATAAAGTTTACTGGAACCAGGAAAATGTCGGATAAGCCCGAGTTACCTAGGGTTTTGCGAGTATATAAGGGGATTTGAGACTTTTCTCGGGAGAGTTGTGTTTATTCGAGAGCAATAAAGCAAAGAAAGAGAATAGTCGAGAGAAAATCCTAAGGAAAAACAGTTTATCCCGAGGATATCCGAGAGAGATCAAGCTATCGCCGAGCTAATCCGACCATCGCCGAGATAAACTGGTAAGCGATCGGATATTTCCCTAAGTGTTAGGATTTCATCGGATAACCTCGAGCTAATAGCCTTGTTTTGTGGGGTTTCTGAGGGAAAACAGAGTTTGGCTCGAAGAAAGGTGAACGGATCAAGAGATAGCCGAGGGGATAAGGATCGGATCGTACCGTGAGCCGAGAGATTCTTAGGGAGATCGGATATCTTTGATTTGGAGCGGTTTTCATCGGGATTTCTTCTTACCAATCTGTTTCTAGCCTTGTCTAAGGTGAGTGCGTGACCGGGGTTAGGTCTAGGACCGTAGCATGACTAGGGTTGAATGTTTTACATGCTTGATTGATGATTTTCATGTTTTGTGTGGATTAAGTGTATGAACGGTTATGTGTTTGATAAAAGGTGGTGTTTACCGAGGCATATATGATGTTTAGCTAACCTCAGGGTAATCCGGATCATGTACTAGCTTAGGAGATGTGGGATTCTCGCTGAAGTAGACATGGGTCTTAAAAAGGGATTGATCTTGGGTGGTTAGGCTAGGTCATCAGGGGCCGTTTGATAGTGATGTGTGTATTGTGAATTGATTGTGTGAATGTTGAATCCGAAAGTTTACTGCGTGTTTTGGTACTGACCAGGTGTTACGGGATGACCGTACTCACTAAGTATTTATGAAATACTTATGCATCTCCTTTGAGTGTGCAGGTACTAAGCAGTAAGGGCGCGAGACCAGGCGGCAGTGATGGATATGGATGGATCGGGGTTGTGTGTTTTATAATTTAAGACTTGTGTTAGGGTCTTATGGCTTTGGTGTTTAACCGTTAGGTTGCTAGATGATTGGTTGTAATCGTTAGTGAACCTTGTGTTTTTATTCATGTGGAACCCCGAATCTTGTTTAGTGCTTTTAAAGATGAATAAATGAGTGTTTTGAGTTATTATATTCCGCTGTGTATTGTTAAAGAATGACTTAGAGAAATAAAGAAAAAGTTGAAAAATATGGCTAAGTATAGAATTGGACTTAGAGGATGTAGTGGGACACAGCCGCGGTACGGTTGACCGGGTTGGGTTACCACAAGTTGGTATCAGAGCGTTTTAACGCTTCTAGGACTAGGAAACTGGTGACTGCTGTTGTTTGTTTTGTTGGGGTGTATGGGGGTCCGATCCATTCTTCACTGTCAAGGTCTCGCGGTAAGTTGTTGTGTGGTGTTGTAAAACACGTTTTGAGTTAGCTTCGGCTAACTGGCATTGTGTACTTGCAGATGGTTAAT